AGAGCCTTTCCTTCTGTTTCCTTCATTGTGAACATCTAATATTGCAATCAGTGCAGTTAATTTGGTGAAAAATCAGTTTCAAATACTGCTTTCTGTGAGATCTCTGCATTCATGTATGAATAGATGTGCATTCTGTATGAAAAAAACCACTGTCCTCAAGTGCATGGATAGTGAACAGAGACTCATCTGCTTTTTTGTTTGCTTGTAAAACAACTGTCTGCTCTTCAGTACACAAATGTGCTATATTTGGCTCAGGAAAGTTTATGAAAGCACACATTTAATTTAATTTAATGCCTTTCTTTAATTCTTTTCCTAGTTTTTTCCCTACTTTCTTCTCAGCTGGAGCTCCTTTAGCACAAGGACAGATTGTTGTCTGTTCCTGGGCACAGAAAGAATTAAAATGCWGTAAAAACTAAATAGTAAGATCAGTTTTAAAGAAATAATAGTCAGTTCTTCAAATGGACTCAGAAAAAAATCTTGAATTTCTATCTGTTTTAATTTCCCAGTGTGTGGTATTTTGTTTCATGTGTACCTAGGCTGACAGAATTTAAATAGCTTCTGAAATAACTAGGGAAAAGAAAACAGAACTAAGGCTTTAAGGGATATGTGTTTGCTTTGTGTGAAATGAGTCCTGCATCCTTGGCTTATAAAATGTGATTGTAAAGGTTTAAGCCATTGCCATCAAAAAGGTGATGTACAGAAGTTGATACTGCTGTCAGGTTTCAGTATTTTAGTGTTCACTCACATCAGATGTTTCTTTGCTGCYGAGTCTTGCTGTTAATGTCACATGTTAAAAATGGTACTTTTACACGTCATGGAAAATTTCCCCAGTAATTTTCAGTAATTACAAGATTGATACAAGATTACCTTGATACAAGATTTTGTCACTCCTGTTATGGAAGTCATCTTTCAGGCTTTTCCCTCCTCCCCTTTTACTTTTAACATTTGGTATTGCTGTTCTTCAGCAATTGTATAACTTTTTAATTGTAGAAGGCCTATAGGAATTAACTGTTGTGGCTTTATGGCATCCTACTGCCAAACAAAAGCTCTCAAGTATACAAAGCTTTCTGAATTTGCTTCCTTTTATATTTTTCTGAGAGCTATCTTCTGGGAAATTAAAGACATTATTCTTCCAAGTTTGTGGAATTTCCTTTTCTTTTCTGAATGATATTGTGAAAATTTTGCCCTTAATAGACACCTTAATWCAGTACTTTAATGGGTACTGAATGGGTGTTATAGTAGTTGTGAGATATCCAGTCTACAGGTCTGGTCTATTTATTACTTGAATATTTTAAGCCTTTGCTTTAAAAGTTGCTTTCCTTTTGTTTTTGTTAATGTTTTCTACTCAGAGTGGTCCATAGGATATTGCTAGGCCTCTGCGTACCATGAGTAGGGGAAATACCAGCATTCATCAAATTAACACTGAGCTTAGTAAAGTGCCTTTTAATATGCAAAAGTGAAGACTGCAGTCATGGCAAAGTTTAATTTCCATTTCTTTTAGCATTCAATGGACAAGCCAGAGAAATTTTGTGTATSTGTAAGTAATTGGGCGTTGCATGTCAGCAGAAAGTTGCACAGCAGAGCTGAAGGATGCTCCTGCTGAAAATGGAATCTGGGTGTTTAATGTTCAGGTTGTGGCAGGATCTGTGCCACTGAGAAGAGAATAATACTCCTYATGTCACAGTCTGAGGTCAGTGACTTGACTARGAACCACTGTAGTTCCTTCCAATGAAAAGGAAAGAAGTGCAGGAYTGTGTTTGAGGGTGGAACTGGCTCCAATCATCAGCTGGCACTGCAGCTTTATCCCAGCCATGGATCTGGCCATTAACCAAGTGAGGACATCTTTTAATAGTGGGCATTGTGTCTTTGCCAGCTCAATCAGCACTTTCAGCACTTCCATCCAAATCAGTGTTTTAGGCTTGATTCTAAGGCTGAGCTGCATGAGAACAGCCAGAGTTTAATGTCAAACGTGAGAAATTATGTTAGGGTACCTCTTTTTTTTAGAATTAAAGTGGCCCCTTTGGGATAACAGCAGCATATAAAATGGAGCTCCCTCCAGACCTCTTGTGCAAGATCATGTTGTGCTCTGTGTGCAGTTTTCCACCCTTCCATACTGCCCTCATTTGGTGTGATATTGATCAGTTTAGCACCTCCCTGACTCCTTTCTTACTCAGCTGTGTAGATAATTCCAAAAGGTTACATCCTTCTTCTGCAGCAGGCAGATAACGAGGAGGTGGATAAGAGAAAATCAGGTGTTTATATGGAATATAGTGATATCTAATATCTCTCTTTCAAATCTCTCACTGTCTTTCACTAGTAATGAGTATTTGTGCTAAGAATGCACCCTTTGTTTAAATAAACTGAGTCTATTTTTGCAGATGATGCTTTTTTACCTTTATCTAAAGWATTTACAAAAGATAGAAACATTATTGCATTGTCATTATTGTTCCTTTAAGCTAAATCAGTGGTAAGGATGGTAAATGCTGCCAGAGAAATCCAAGCAGTTTTSTTAGAGCCATGCTTTGAAGAAAAATGAGCGAAACTTGTAGAGAGCAAGACATTGGAAGTAATGTTACTTAAAAGCAGATAAAAAGAAAATTATGCTTGTCTTCTGAAAAAGAAAAACAAATTAGGAAGATACTATCTGCAGAAATTACCTGAGGAACAGAGAGATGCTGCATTTAAAATGGGTCTTGGCTCAAACCTCTCTGCACAAAACCTCATTTTGAGGTAGTTGTTACTCCGTGACATGCTAACGTAGAAATTTTTATTAAAATTAAGACTTTTTTCTTGTGTGAGTGTAAAATGCAGCGTGAATAGGTTAATTTGCTATTCCTTAAAAGCAGCATTCCTCAAGGGATGTTTCCTGTGGAGTTAGAAAGAAGTTACAGGAAAGAACTGAAATACAGTTAAATTGACATTGTGCATTAGTMGTTTATTTATTATTAAACTATGTTTTGGTGAAATGTAGGTTTTGATGAAGTTCAGTGGCAGTAGGTTGCTGTTTGATGGTTTAGCAAATATTTCTTACAAATGACAATTTTGCATCARTTGATGTGTGGGGACATCATCCAACTCATCCGATGGAATTTAGAGACGTTTTAGATTAAGCATATAATTATCAGCACAAATACTGTGCTAAAAAGAATCCTGTTGAGACTAAAAACTGCTTAATTATTTTTACTTAGCTGGTGTATCTGTAGAGATTGGTAATGTATYGCATGCTGGTTTGAAAACATTATTTTAAAATGGTCCCTGGAGTTTTGTCATTCAAAAATCATATTCTTTATGAGCTATCATGAGCCTATTGTAAAATTTTAGAATACCACCCTTTTTGTCACACTGTGTACTCATTTGCTAGAAATTTCATTTAACAAGAGGTGGTCTCAAATATATGGAATACTGGAAGTATAAAATAATTTAAAATAGATTAAGAAAGCCTCGGAGAAGTCAGGGCCTAATCTTGTATTGAACATGGGTTTTTTTCCTCTTAGTTTGTACTTTAAAAGCAARTTGTTGCAGTTGTAGTACATCTTTGAATTTTTTCTCTGTAGGTGCTATGGTGAAACATTGCTGAAAAAAAAAGGCAAAAACGTCGAAAACCCCAAACAACCCAAAAACTTTGGGAGAGCAGAAACAACTAATGTTTCTGCATCTAGAAGTTTAATAGTTTTTTAGAGAGAATCTTAAGTCTCTGCAATAATTCCCATATATGCATTAGTAACAAGAACAAAAAAAAGAAACTGCACTATTATTATAATACTTGGGGTTTATGTTTTGTGGACTGAATGTTTGTCTTCCTTGGAATCAGAAGGAAACCATGACATTTATTTGAAATCAGAACTTGTTCCTTCTATCAAGAAGTGCATGTAAATATTTATTGGATTAATCCTTCCTAAAAGCACCTGAAATGAATAGTGAAATAGAGGCTTGTTTCTTTGGTGAAACAAGATTTGMGTTTCTGTGATTGAGTTGCATTTCAGAAAGGAAATTGAACTTCTCCATCAACTTTCTTGGTGTGAATTAATACCAGGGTAGCTGGGATGAGAAAATTTCCCTGTCTGAAAGAAAAAAACAACCTATTAAAAAAAGTCTACTGATGCAATTGTCAAAACTTCTTCATATAGCCTGTATAATTTTTCACTAGCAGTGTAGATTTAGACCTGTGAAATTGCTACAGAGGTGTCAAGTAGTGGGGAAAAAAAAAAAAAAAAAAATCAAAGCAGTCCAACCAGCACTTGTGCTATGCATTTAACCTGCACAGCACTCATGGAGCAACGAGGACAGGGTAARGCTTTTAGATAAGTTCACCATGGAAAAGTCTGGCTTTTAAACTCAGGAATCCAACAGTTTTTAAGTCACCCACTCTCCTGGTTAATTTTAATGCCAGCAGTCAGAAAGGATATATTTCCAGGTTCAACTGCTATTAATATTGCATATGCAAGTGTGTGCTAAATGGTTTCGACAGGCAGTAAATGGAAAAAAGCAGCACCATGCATTGTGGATTTTCAGGCTGCTATTGTGCAGAACAGTAGCTCAGACCTGTTTTTTCAGGGTTTTGACATAAATTAGGAGCCTTGCTGGTTTTGGATTTAGTGTATGGTTAACGATCTTTGATGTTAGAAAATTGACTTTGGCTTTAATATGAGTGGTGTACGTAATTGGCTATTTTCTCTAATAAGTGCAATAATTCCTTTTCTTGTAATTTAAAATCAAGACGTAGGTGTCCTTCCAATAGGACTGAAGGAATGACAAAATATGTGTAATTTTTTCCCTCCTTTTTACATTCTAATGCCATACCATAGCTATTTCTCATCTCTTTCATTCCAACCAAGAGTCAGGTCTGTAGTTAAATTTGTCTTGAAAAACACATAGAGGAAGATGTATTTGTGTATTCTTGCGCACGTGCCATTCGATCAGTGAGTTTAGTTGAACTCTAGAGTTAATTTTTAAAGGACTAAATAAACCAGACTTCCTCACTGCTTTCCACTTSAGTGAGGATGTACAAGATGCTGTATAATACCAAACGTGTTACAGGTACACCTCCTTGGTCAGGAACATACCCAGCTGATAACTGTAAAATTGAAGTCAAATTGAGGTAAGACTTCAGCTTAAAAATTCATGGCAATGAAAAATATTTGATTGTAGTTTCAACTATTTTTTCAGCAGCATACACAGCAAAGCAGAATACTATGTTAATTTTACTTGATATCTTAGAAGGGCATGCCTAATCTATTGCAACCACCTTTATTATTGAATAAAAAGAAAGAGATTTGTTTTCACCTCTTCAGTAATTGCATTCCTGTTTTAGGGGAAAAAAAATCTTTTTAGCAACTGAAATGAATAGTAATCTTTTTTGAAACAGTGTGGGTGGCTTTTCTATGCTGATCAAAATATTGAAGTGTATCTAGCACGAGTAGAATAATGTGGTTGCCTATATATTAGGAAATATAAAACAATTATTGCTAACATAGATTGTTTCTCTAGCTATAAAATGCTACATTTCTTTTTCTAAATAATGTGTTTGGTACAAATAAATTGGATGTTTGTTCTAAAAGGATTGTACTATATTGATTATCAGGAATACCRTCAAATAAAAACAAACAGTAAACCCGATTTTATTGCTTTTCATGCTCCTGTGGAGCTTCTGTTGTTGTGCCTTTGGAAAACAGGATTGTTACTGAAGAAGAAGTGGTAGAGGTTTGGGGTGTACAGGACTGTGGAGGCTGTGGACACATTGCAGGTCACACTGTTGTGAAAGTGTGCGTTGCTGGAGATCCCAAGAGATCTGAGCCTGGAGAACTCCCCTTGTTGGCTGTTCTAGGAAATGCTTGAGTGCATTTTATAATAATTTATTATTTTATAATAATTTATCTTTTAATAGATTTATTTCAAGTATTTGTAACAGAGTAAAAACTTCTAATTTTTGTAAGGTAACCACTAGTTAAGCAGAACCTTAGCCAACTCTCTTGAAGGGCTCAGAACATCCATAAACACAAGTGCAGGCAGGAGCAGCGTTATATTGAGACAAAAATGCAAAAACCACAGACAAAAGCAACTGGTAGATTGGGAGGCTTTGAAAAGACATTTCATAGATTCATTAAACAAAATGATTCATCATAAAACTTCCATTAGATGTTGTACATCTTTTTTTTTGGCTTGGCTTTGATCGGTCAATTTGGAATTTAACAGAGTAAGAGGAGTTGCTTTTGTAGAAGCTATGGAGTGAATKAACATCCTTCTGTTAATGTCTTGTAAACCATAATTCCAGAATCATAAAGTGTGTAACAAGCTATTTCTACAGTCATTAGCTGACTTACAAATTTGGTATGCTGTAGCTGATACCAATTTAATTAGAACTTTTTTCTAAAGGTGTTCCAGTGTAGACTTGCAATTTCATTTGATTCCTGTTCTCTTCATGCTTTTGAACACAAATGCTGTCAGGTGAGGTAAGGGTTAACAGAATATTTATCTTGGACTTCCTGAGGGTGGATTTTGGTCTACTCAGGACCACTGGTTTGGAGAATCCATTGGGAAGCAATCCTTAAATACCAAAATTGTCCAGGCTGGCCAGACATAGTTTACGAAAGAAATCCTAAAGTTGCAGGACCAGTTCGTTCCCACTGTGCTGGAAGACGAGCCAGCAGGGAAGAAGACTGGCCTGGCTGAACAGGGAGCTTTTGCAGGAACTCATGGAAGAAATAAAAAGTGTCTCAAGACTTAGGAAGAGTACCAGGATGTTGTTAAGTCATGTRAAAAGAAAATTAGAAAGTTGGAAGCTCAAGTAGAAGAGATAATAAGAAATGCTTTTATAAATACATTAACATCAGAAGGAGGGCCATGGAAAATCTCCATTCTTTCTTGGGTGTGGAGGGGGAACACTGTGACCAAGGATGAAGAAGAAGTTGAGGTACTTGATACCTTCTTTGCCTCAATCTTTGGAAGAAAGACCAGAATCTTCAGGGCAACCAGCTCTRTGACGTGGGCCAGGGAGCAGAACAGACCTCCTGTAATCCACCAAGCTGGGATGTGTAGTTTGTCTAGATTGCCAGAAACAAACATAACTCATAAAAGGTATCAAAACACCCAAAGTGCAAAATACTTTCCTTATGCTTGAAGAGACACCTTTGCGTTAAGGATCTAAAACAGTGTTTACAATGTTACCTGAGCATCAGAGATTGGTAAGGCTTAATAGGGTACCTTTTATTCAAATATAGTTACGGTTTTAAGGTAAAGATTTTATTAAGTTCTGTCTAGAAAAGCTYTAAGCAGCTCTGTTCTCACAGGAATGCGCACTGAAATTTGTTCTGCAGCTTTGCCATAAACGTTTGCYGTTTTCAGGAGCTGCAGCATCTTCTGTCAGCCCCGTTCTGCACTGCCTCTCACCTTGCTGGTATTAGGTGCTGTGAGTACTGGTATGACACAAAAATGTTCCAYGAGATTGCAAAATAACATGACTGAACATATCACAGCACATCACACTGATTTTCTTGTAAAACCTCACCAGAGCCGGTGTGAGCAAATCTTCAGAGCATTAATTTGTGTTTATTACTGCACCATTTAATACAGAACATAATGATTTCGACCTTTGTGCACAAGGATAAACKAATCCTCAGGTTTAAATTGCCACTCTATATTTGATATTGACTAAGCAGTTCCACTGCCTTCAGCATCAAACGGAAGCAACTTGCTAGACTCAATCTCAGACAATCTCAGTTTAACCAATTTTGATTTTTAAGCAGTTATCAAGATTGTGGACTTTGAAGGATACCATGAAAGCAGGCCTGACTTTGAAATCAATTTTGGACTGATAGATCTATATTCATGAAACCAAACTACTTGGGATGTTACCTTCCTTTCTCTCCCCCATACAGGAAACTCCATCTCAAGATGGACTCCTAACTTACAAGYCTGTGTGTCAGAGGCAGCAGGAATAATTTTTATTATTTCTAGGAATGTGTTTTGCTAAATGTATATATACGTAGAGGAGAAAGGATTGAGTATGTGCAAAAACTTGCAGAGAATTCATGGAGTGTACTTAAAACTTGAAGAGGGAAAATGTGACGACTCCACAAAGGTTTGAAGTTCCCTTTGTTATGTTGGGTGTTTAGCTATTTAGTGAGGTCCAACCTCACTTCTCGTAAATGAAAATGTTACTTTTTCTGTTCCAAGGTTGCTTGGCTGTTGCTTTTAATAATAATTACATCTGAGGAAGGGTTATTCTGCTTTGGAATAAAAATCTCCCTTTAATTTCGGCTATGAAGGAGATCATATTGAAACCCCTTATGCTGAGAATTAAAAAAAAAAAATTGTTTGAACTATTTGAACTGCAGATAACTCCTGAATAGTTTCCTATGTAAGGTTTTATGCTCTTATCTGTAATGGGAATAGAGAGATTGACCTGAAAGTGAGGAAATTTTGTGCAGAAGTTTTGTGCATGTTAGGAAACATTTTTATTATTCATATGTTAACAAGGGTGTTAACTTTCAGTGGCTGCTTGTTATTTGTGGTTTTTCACAACTTGATTGCGCAGATTGTGGTGTAGAAATGTTTTAGAGCTGCTTTCCTTCCTTGAAAAAACTGCTCAGTTCTAATTCTTTCCATTTCGAGGTGSTAGAACAGATTGACTCTTGCAAATAACATGCATCACTTTCTCTGTTTCTGTTTTTTGTGCAATCAACCAGTTTTAGAGGACAGAGGGCAAGAAAAAGGGCTCGATTATTAAATGAACTGTTTTCACATATGTGCTGTTAAGGAAATAGGAGTTTAAATGTGGATTATGACTTGGCATGGGAGAGGCATTATGTGGATAAACAGATTTTTCCAGGACTTGTTCCTTTGAACAAAGTGCTTAGTTGTTTGATGCAATGTCTTGCTATTTTTCAGGGAAGCATTTCCTAGTTAGTACTGAGATTCTTTTCCTAAACCATGGAAGGGAATTTTTGCTGGGTTATGAACTTTCTTGGATTGAAAATACATTTGTTTCTGAATGAAGAAAAAGCAAAACCCCAAAACAAGAACCAAAACCAACAACAACAAAAACAGAACCAGAAAACAACAAAAACAAATGAAACCTCCCCCCCAAAACCCAACAACCAAACAAAAAAAAAGCTATACAAAAACACATAGAACTTGTTAGAAGCTCATTCTCTGGTGGTTGACGTTTTGATTTTGGTTTTTTTTCCTTTTCGGGTAGGGGCTGTTGTGTGAGTTGTTTTTATTGTTGTGTTTTAAGGTTTCTTTGGCAGTTGGGGTTTGGTTTTTTTTGTTGAGGAGATTGTGATGTTTCTGACTTTGGGGRATTTCTTTGGAGACAGTTTCTTTTTGCTGTGTAGAGGGAGCGTTTGTTGTCCAAAGCATTTTTGTTGGTATGTGAATTGTTATTTAATGAATGGCTAGCAAATATAATGATCCCTGCAAACTGATTTTTTTCCCTTCCTTCTCTTCATAGGCATTAATATAAGTGATTTATGGAAGTAATTTTTAGTTCTGTGAAAGTGTATTTGTGAGTTAGTGTAAGGTAAAAAATATTTAGGGCTCACGCTGAAAGCTTAAGCAACTTGACTCTTTGAATTGTTGAAATAATAAAGTACAGGAAAACCATCAAATAGTATGCAAACCAAGAATTCAAATAAGGTGGGAATTATGCCAAATTCTCCTTTTTTTTTCCTCTATGGCATTGTTATTTTTTGTTTATTTCTTCTCTCTTTTCATCTGTTCTTCAGAGTATGTTTATGAAAAAATGGTTGAGGGTTCAACAAATTAGAATTCTTCACATAGGGGAGGATCTCTCTGTTGTAGGGGTAAAATGTGGACTTAGCACGCCAGTTGAAAATTGAGTTATAAAAGTATTTAAAAGACAGCAARTTAATTGCAGGACTGAAAACAAGCTGCTTTTTGGGACACAAAGTGATCTCGGTTAAACGTGAAAAGTGAAGTTTTACCCTTGTCTATAATTTATATTAGTAGGGAATTAAATTTTTTATGCTTTCTTTGASGAAGCGCTAAAAGCCATACAAGGATTGTTTTAGATGTAAATGCATATTCCATGTAAATACGTTTATGAAAATATCAGACCTCCAAAAACTCCACACAAAG